TCTTGGTTTCCACTCCCCTCATTAATCAGCATTTACTTAGTGGAGGCCATGGGGCTCCATAGCACAATGGTGCCTGCCTTTGGGCTGCCGTGAACCTGTGCATTCAGGGGTAAGCCCTCATTCTTACAAAGCCTGGAAACAAACAACCTCCCAGGAAGTTGAGACACCTTGATGTGTAATCAGTAAGACGGAAAGGCCAAATTAGGACCCATGTCTCTGGTGCAGTGTTCTTGCCAGGCCCGCTTTCCGTGGTTGTGTGACTGCCAGGGGAGGTAGGGATGGGCATGGGACCAGAATACCTCTTGCTCACTTGCCAGGCTCTGTTCTAGCCCTTTACCTTCAGCAACTCTTACTGCCCCGTCTCTATACTGTGATGTGGATGTACTAAATTCCCATTTTACAGGTGAAGAACCAAAGGTGACTTGCCCAGGTTGCTTAGCATGTGACGGGCAGAGCAGGGATTTGGACCCCAGTGGTCTAGAGGCCCAGCCCATGGGGAAAAGCCCGTGATGGGTCCTTCCCCTCCGTGATGACTTGCATTTAGGAAAAGCTTCCTCAGCAGATCAAGTCACTGGCCGTCACACCTAAGGTCCCTGTTCCTGCTTGATCAGCACCCAGCCGCTCCCGACTCCTTTTCTGCATGGGTGGGGGAGGGAGCTAAGCCTAGAGGTTTACAGCTTGTTTGGGTCAACCTATTTCTTCAAAGTTTCCTCTTGTTTCCCTTTCTCTATGGATTGTGAGGCTCACTTGGCCCTGGAAGACTTTTTTGACAGGGTCCAGTGATGATTTCTCCACATTCTTGCAACCTCATTTGCTGCCTGATTCTGGCCCCAGGGAGCAACACACTGGGAATTCATCTAAGAATGAGCCAGGCGGTGTGCGAAAGGCGTTGCTCAAGTCTCATTGAGACTTATGGGTGCCATCCTCTCCTGTTCACAGTGGCAGGCACGGAAGCTCCTTTCAAACCAGCCAGGCTTCCAGACCCACTGGGCTCTCCTTGAGTCTACTTAGAAGTCAGCTGATTCATTTTCTAAGCCCTGGTTCAATGACCCAGCAAAGGAGAGAGCTGTGTGACCAGGAGCTGAGGCCTATGTCTGCTCTCGATTCTACAGGTGGTCACGCTGCTCCTCTGAGGGGCCACTGGACTGTGTGGTGAAGGCTCTTGTTCACCTTTCCTTTGAGGAATGATGACTAATCAGAATGCACGCATTCATTGTTTCTAAGGGGGGCTCTGAAAACTGGTGGAGAAAATAAATTCCATGTGATTTTCAGCTACTTAGTTCCTTGAGGATATGAAAATGGGTTACCTTGGGGACTCCTTGCTGCCTCGAGGTGGGGGGAGAAGCCTGGGCCATGCATCGTTCCTGAGCAGCGGCGCAGGGCTGTGCGTGAAGCACCAGTCACAGCTAACCTGTGAGCCGAGGTGAGAGCGAAGGTTACCTGTGATGTATATAAACAGATATCCTCGCTGTGGACATGGCGTGTGGCAGCTCATTCTCCTGAACCCTGTTTCTACCTTAGTCACTCTTCTGTGCTTTCTCGCAGACTTTCCTAACACCACGTTTTACAGGGACCTTTCCCAGGAGATGTCCTAGAAGTTATAAAGTGTCTGAACTCTGAGTTGGAGGAGCCCAGAATCATCAAGCTCCATGCTTTTTAAATATTATTCTTCACAAGCAACTGGAGGGTGATTGAAGAAGCGTCCTTCTGGCTAAAACAAAGGAGGGACTCTCAATCCTGGGGGAAGTTAGAGAGAAGGAAGGGAGGGGTGATGGCCTAACCTGCAGGGAGGCAGAGCCCGAGAAGTGGTCAGTTGTCTGTGATGGGTCATTTCATGCAGGGCGGGTGTGGTGAGTGTCCCCACAGTGCTCATCCTGCAGCTTCTTGTGTGACCTCACCCAACCCCATCATAACAACCTCTGTTTCCCAGGGGCAGGAGGCACCTCAGAATTCTGGAGCAGCAGTGAGGAACCCAGCTGGTGGTCCTGGTTGGAGAGTCAGCTGCTCTGACACCAATAGTAACCTTTTGCAGCCCAAGGCATGATCTGGGGCTACAGAGCTGGCTCCTCACTTTGTTTGGCCAACTGCTGAGTATGCAAGCTCAGAAAATGTGGTCCAGGGCATCAGGAACTCTTTCCCTCCATTCGATCCCCGAAACAAACCATGGGGACTCTGTATCTGGGACAGTCACTGGGAAACCAGTCTGTCCTTGAATGGGGTGGTGGGGGCGGGGAGTAGGGGGTGGAGGTGAGCGCTGGCCCAAGAGCGCCGGCCTTGCAGGGCCCTCTCCTCTGGGTCTCCTCTTGCTTAATTTCCGAGCTCCCCGTATCCAAGGGGGAAAAGTTATGCAAATATGCACAGAGTGCCCTTTCCCATTTGGAAATGTGTGACAAACAAACTCCCTCTTTTCTGTGGATAAATTTCTGACACAGAGCTGTTCTGTGGCATCATTATCCGCAGACTTACGTGGGTTCCCTTAGGGCTTTTCATACCTTCCCCTTTTTAATGAGACATTCAAGATACCATTCAGCTTAAAGGGCCCCTTTGCAGTGAGACCTTCTTTGACTCCCCGCCACCCCCAGGCACCTCATTTCATTTCATTAGAGCACTGGTCACTATCCCATATTATCTCACTCATTCAAAAGCACTTTGTTTCTTGTTTGTCTTCATGAGGCCAGTGAAACCACCCGTCTTGTTCTGCACTGTGACCCCAGCACTCAGGACAGCTTCCGGGGCACAGTGGGCACCCAATAAATATCTGTGAAGTAAATGAACACTCATGCAGCTCCCCTAGGAGATGACTGGTCTTCCCCCCTCTTGCTGAGCGAGATACCTGAGCCAGTGGGACGTGGGCCAAAGTGTGAGCTGTCCTTTCCTATGCCTGCTGTCCCTCTGCCCCAGCCTCCTGGGCCTCCCCCAAGCTGTCCCAGTAGGCCAGCTCCCCAGGGGACTGCAGGTGGCTTCCCCTGGCACTCCAAAGTGTGGACTGACCTTAGGAGTTGATCATTCCTGTGCTCATTCCTTCAGGCAGTTTCCCTTCTCCTCAGTAAATGCCACTCATTCAGTCAACAAGTATTTTATTTTATTTCTAACCCTCACCTGAGGCTGTTCTAATTGATTTTATAGAGAAAGGGAGAGAGAGAAACATCGATGTGAGAGAGAAACGTTGGTTGATTGCCTCCAGCACTCTCGCAGACCAGGGATCGAACCTGCAAACTTTTTTGGTGTATGGAGTGACACTCCAACCAACTGAGCCACCCAGCCAGGGCCAGCAAGTATTTATTGAGGGCCTACTATGTGCTGGAAGTTGAGACACCGGGGAAAACAGAGGACAGAGGTGTCCTCACCCACCTAGAAGGAGAGAATAGGCGACCTTGCCTGCGTGATGTGTATGCCTCTCAGCACGCACAGATCCCCAGGAGAGCGCCTGCAGAGATCAGGCTCCGGAGCTCACATTAGGCACCTCTCGTACATTATCGCCGGCAGTCCTCCACCAGCTTCCCGAGGAACCTGCTTCCATGGGCAGGGGCGACCAGGAGGCTCAGTGAGGCGAGGGGCCGAGCTGCAGTCGAGCCGGGTCCCCGTCACAATGCCCATGTCCTTCCATCAGCTCTCCCTGTCCTGAATGAGCAGTGACTCTAATCCTGGAAACCTCTGGCTAGGAAGGAGGGGGATCGGTGCCCGCCTGGAAAAACAGCTTCTCACCCGCCAGCCCTCCTCCCGCTTCCTCTCTTTTCATCATCTTATTTCATGAGTAAAAGACCAAAGGATGCTTGGGACTTGCGGCTCTAGCCCGTGTCCCTGGGAAACACTGGACAATGGGGTGATGAGATCGCTGGAGTTATCTAGACGACACACTGGGGTTTGGACGATGTCTGGTGTTGGTTCAGACTTGTCCAGCAGGAGACATGCAGGTTATGTTTATAATGTATTTTGGGGAGCTGGAGCAGTGGGTGCCGGGACAATCAGTTCCCAGGCCAGGGCTCCTAGAACTCTGGCCAAGGGTGCAGGTGCTTCACGGCATCTTCCGCGCTCCTCCTCCTTCCGTCCTGCTTCCAGCCTCTTGTTCTGTGCACCCTTCCTTTAAAACCTTTCCCCTCCTCTCTGTTCCTATCCAACCCCAGGCTACAACAACCCTCCTTTTCTCTCATTCTAACAAATGAGGCTGCATTTTGGACAAGCCCTTCGGATTCTGGCAGTTCCACAATTACTGACTTGCAGGTACCTTGAAAATAAGGTAGAAATTCCGGGCTTTCCAGTCCTCCAGCTCTTAGGGCTCCTGCCCAGTGGCAGTGGGGTGTCACTGAAAGAGCCCTGGCCTGGGAGTCCCAGTGGGCTTTGCACCCCTGCTCTGCTGCTCCAATTGGGACAAGCCCTTTGCTGTCTCGAGTGAGCTTCTATGAAATGAGGTGGTGGGACCAGTGGTATTTTCCTTTTAGGATGGTTTCAGCTATAAAACCACGGACTCCCTTGGCTTCATTCACATCTCAGGATCCCTCCTCTCCAGAAGGTTTCCTTGCTTGCTGTGTCATTAAGCATTAATTTATACATTCAGAGGTAAAAGCTGGTTCTGGGGGGAGGTAAAAAAATCAGCCTTTTTGTGTAAAAAAACCAGATATACATACAGTACATAAACAGATATACACCATATATTTAGTATTAAAATTTCATGGGGGAGATTTAAAAATTTTAATTTTAAAATTACAATTTCATGTGATTTCGAAAAAAGTCTAAAAAGACTCCTTAGGGGCCATAACAAAAAGAAAAAGGTTGAGGAACAGATTTAACCACAAAGGTGTGCTGGGTACCATGACAGGTGAATGACAATGTCTCCTTCCCTCCAGGGGCCTATCTAGAGGGGTAATCATACTTGTCCTTCCAAACCATGTGCCTTCTTTTCTTTTTTCTAAATCCCACTACATGCCATTTCAGCTGGTTTTCGTGCATTTACATATGCTGGCGGTCATGACTTACATTCTTGTGGCTTTTCTTCCCTTTAGCTATGGAATTGCTGGCTCTACCAACGTGACGGGTGACCAAGTGAAGAAGCTGGATGTCCTCTCCAACGACCTGGTCATTAACGTGCTACGCTCATCCTTTGCAACCTGTGTTCTTGTGTCGGAAGAAGATAAACACGCCATAATTATAGAACCTGAGAAAAGGGTGGGTCTGAACTTCCACCGCCCAAGGTTTTCATGTAACCATTTTTCTTCCTAGCTTCATAAATGATTCCCCTTGATCAGCGAAGCTGGGTTCCTAGGAATCACCCTAGATTCCTCCTGAACCACGAGTCATTTCACAGATGCATCCTCACTACCAAGTCTCAAACCGTCCCCACCTGTATACCCCACCAGCATAGTTCATGCCATTGTCGCCGCTCCAGTGGACTCATACATGGGAGAGACTCCTATATACTCATCTCCACTCCTAACTTCATTGTCATGTTCAAGGCTCTTCAAAGCCTGGCTTCTGTTAACTACCTCTTTTGCTTCATCTCCATCCACCAAATT